TCAATATTTAAAAGTTATATTAGATTTTGACTAATTCAAAATTGAGTTGTATTAGATTGTATAAAGGAAAACTCTTCTACCACTTATTTTTTTATTCATACAATTTAAAATCAAGATTTTATTTAAAAAAAATCAAATTTTTTTCATTCAAATTAACATGTTATTAATTACTCAATCCTATTAATATATGGGTCTTTCTAACTTATGCACTTCAGGCACAGGTTAAGAAAGTAATTAATGCATCTTTTTATTATTAAATTTCATATAAAGAATAAAATTTAACTTTAATTTTAACAACTAATCAATTAAATTAAGATATTTGTTATTAATTTTAAAATTAATATCAACTTTTTTATTTTTTTACATATATTAATGATTAAAAGGTATATCAACCATACCTATACTTACACCCTTAAAAGTACATGTACTTAATATATTAGTGTATATCAACCCAATTTTCATAAAAGATTGAAGTCTAAATTTCAAAACACTATTTTCTAATAAATTGATTTAATATTTTATACTTTTATTGATAAATAATATACATTAATTTTTAAGTCTATCTAATTATAATTATTTTATTAAAATTTTTTTTTTTAATAACAGTTAAGAAATGAGTGATATACATATAAATTATAATCAGCCTACTAATAAGAACCGCTCCAAATCCCGGGAAGTAGAGGAACTCCGGCACGGCGGCACCCCCTTTCTAAGGCCCCAAACAAGGGGAAGGAAGGAAAGATCTATTCACTACGCAGGGAAGGCGGATCTCCACATTGCCAACGAAGATGTCATTAGCACTCCAGAGATCAACGGGGAAGAGAAAGCTAGGGCTTGCTCAAACGGCTGCCGTCGATCTTGACTCAGATCCCAGTAATTCCACTCGATTTCTTCTAGTTTTTCTCCAGCAAAGTCATCTCTTTTTCTTGCCCTCCGCCTAATTCCGCTTTCAACGAATAAATTTATGATTTTTCTCGTGCATTCTTTGATTTTGTAGAGAACGAACATTGGTTTCTAACCTTAACGTTAGAAATGCAAACCTGTGCTATTATAATATATATTCTAAATTCTTAAAATTTTATTTTATTTCCTGAACCAAACAGATGAATGTGTATGGTTTCATCATATTCTTTCTTTGAATAAAGGCTTAGAATGCCAATTTTGATGCGTGCCAATGTAACTGCCATCTCCAAAGTAAATTCTTGGGAGCATAGGCCTTGATGGGGTTACTTTGATCTTTGTTGGGTATGACGGTGGTGTTGTGTTATTAGGACTTTTGCTATGGTTACCGTTTTTGGTCTTTGATGTTAGTGGTCGGGTTGTTCATTTTTATTGTATGAATTTCAGCACATTTTTTAATGATTGGTTAATCTAATTTAACCTTTGGAAAGTGATATTAAATTTCTTGTTATGTTTGTTACATATTGTGGAGAATCAATGGATTCAGGTGGCATGCTTTATGCTTATATTTTCTTATGTTATTTGTTGAAGCTTGTTTGTAAATGTTTAATGTTTTCTTCTGCAGAGTATAATGGTGACCCCATTTCAAAACATCGAACGTGTTGGATGCATGTGGCGGTTTATTTGCGTGCTCGTGAACAGAGGATACCTAAAAAAATGTTTTTAGACATTAAATCAAGCGCCCCATGTCTGTTAGGTAATTTCCCACGTGGTGCAAGATCAAAAAGACGAGCCAAGTGCAAGAGTAGAATCTCTAAACCAAAGAAGAAGCTGGACACGGAAACATTTGACCGCTATTTGGAGTAAGCTATTCCCCTTTTATAATTTTAATGTTCTCTAACTTCAGATTCTCCCTTTTTTTTGTTCTAAATTTCATGTCCTCATTTTATTCTTAAAAATGTTCAGAGCTTTATGGAGCAGCTTCTCAGAGTGTAAAAGAACTTCCTTTGCATGCTTAGACAGTTTATGGTTTGCATTATACATGAAAGGATTTTCTCAAGAAAAGGTGTTATCTTGGATTAAGAGGAAGCAGATTTTTTCAAAGAAATATGTTTTTGTTCCTATAGTTTGTTGGTAAGTATTATAATCGTCCTGACCATTCAACTGATATTGTTGTTATGGCCTTATAGATCAATGCAATTACTCAACAATCCAAGATTTTATTTTCGGGTTCCTCTGTATGTTAGCTTTGACCTAGTGGTCTACCTTTCAAATCCATGACACCCTCTATTGTTTTCCAGCATAATGTATGCAATGTATCTGTATTTTCTCCATGCTTTTAATCCTAACAACTTGTGTGGGAATGTTACGAAGTATTAAACTGTTAGTGTTTGTTAGGCTTGCTTAATTGCTATATGTACTTGGCTACATACATTTTTTGATACTTTAAGCTTAAGGGTTTACATTGAGTGATTTCTTCTATATGTGAATGGTATCAGAACTTCTTTGACCTAACTTTTTTATATCCACGATTCTCCTCTAGTTGATGTTATATTTCTCTCTTTTCTTC